TCCAATTCCAGCCAGCAGCTATCTTTAAACAATGTGTTCATTTACCTTTTGATAGCCTAAGGGTAAGTTTACATGTAAACAAGTTTGCTTCTCAGTTCCCAGGGCAGAAAAAACAAGGTTTAAAATTATTAGATTTTAAAATTTATTCTTAAAAATATAAAAGTTTATTAATTAAAAAAACAAGGAAATTAAAAAACCTGATGAACAACATTAACTGTTGATTATAATAGAATCAGAGATACGGGAGGGGAGTGGACTGACAATTCTGGTGTGTGGGGGGGAGTGGTGGATGCGGGAAGAGACTGAACATAAACTGTGCACCTATGGATGAGGACCATGGGGGATGGGGAAAGGGCAGAGGGAGGGGTGGGAACCTAGTGGAGGGGGGGAGAAATGAGGAACCTTTGTAATAATATGAACAATAAAGATTGATTTAAAAAATAAATAAATAAGAGAGCTTTCATTAAACATATGATCCTAAGTGCTAAGAAAGCGTCATAGTATAGTTGTGTCATAGTATAGTTGGCCATATTTTCTTGTTTCATAAAATAATGTTTCTTGGTACTTAAAACAATGGTTTATTTTACAATTAAAAGCTTCTTAGATTCAATGAAAATAGTACATTTTAAAGCTTGAGAACTAATTAGAAGCTCCTAAAACACTTATCTTCACATTTTTCCCAGCATTCCAAATGTTCAATTTTTGGTAGAACCAAATTCTATCTACATTCACATTTGGTTGATTTTTAAACTCATCTCATTGTTAAACCTAATGACATTATCTTGAAAGAAATATGTTATTCTTACAACATAGAATGAAGGTTTTGATGTGCTAGTCAGATGGTTTAAACACGAATTACAATAAACCCATAATTATTAAAGTGGGAAAATATGCTGGACCATTTATTACCTAAAAGTGTTTTACGACAGAATGCAGACATGTGCAGGACCCCTTAGGGGACAAACCCGCGCCCCCCCACTCCCCCATTTAGATGAGGTTTCACCTGCTCAGATCTGTTGCTTCTTCCCCAGCCACTGAACCATTTCCAGACTTTGCTTTCAAAAAATTGAAATATCCTGCCCAAACTGACTTCTAAGAGAGCTGCACCAACTTAGTGTTTGATTCTCCAGTACCCATAATCCCATGCTCATTTCCTTACTAAGGGATGGAAAGACTGATGCCGTACTTTGGCTGTGACTACTGACCCTCTGAGGTTGCCAGACTTTTCATGAATTCTTACCAACACAATTCTTACCACAATAATTTTGGAACTTGGGTCTAATTTTAGTCTAGGGTAATCATTATCAAGATTGGTACTTGTCCTTCAATCTACTTTCAGTTTGTAAGCCCAGTCATACATCTTCTTTGATCCAATGGAGCATCACTTTCACATATGGCCAGGATTCTTGTTCCAACAAGAGGAAGAAATTCTATCAGCAAGTGACACTTCCCCACTTTGCACTTCTTACTAATTATGGCTTTGTTTTCAAGGTCCTATCACAAAGAGCAGCTCATTGATTTTTATTATTTTTGACATCCATTGGCTCCTATACAGAGTGAAGCTGGCAGGTGCCAGAGGGTTAGAATTGCAGAAATTAATTAACAAAGACTGAAAGCTCTAATTAGCTGGTACTGTTGCTATCTTTCTTTTTCTCATTTAACCAGTTCAGAGTGGGTCTAAGACTCTGCAAACTGGAGGCAGAGAAAAAGCTAGAGCTGAATGTTCAAGACACAAGAAATCCAAGTATTAGGCCTTGGGCAAGCGAAGAACACGTGGCTCATTTTCTGTCATTTTCCAACTGTACCACTATCAGATCTAGATTTAGAAAACCCATAGATTAGTTGGTTCCCAAATCACTTCCAACTAGTGTCTATATTTAGCTGATTCCAGATAGAAGTTGGCATTTAAAAGCTTGACTGGAATCCCTCTGCATCACAACCATTAAAATTAGATTTCAATGTTTCATGAAAGTCCTCTGCTCTGTGAAGATGTAGCACTTTGCTGATATTCTTTAAACATCAAACCAGTTAGAATCTATTAGTGTAGATTCCACTGTTAAGTCCATATCTGTTCAATTTCTATCCTGGGATAGAAAAGTAGTACTTTCCAACTATTTGTGGCACTATAAGTTGGTGTGATATTTCTCTTTCTTTTTTTAAAACAATCTTTCCTAAAAGCAAGGTAGCTATAGGCATAAGATGTCATCAAATGCACATACAATTTGATCAAGATTTCTGCAAGTATTTTGTTCAAGGAAATAATAAGAAATGTGGGCAAAAATGTATCGACAAAGAAGTTTATTGTAACATTGACTTACAGTAGTGAAATATTAGAAAAACCTAAACATACCAAATACTTTGCTATTATACAACCCACAAAAGTGATGTCAGAATATTTGACATAGGAAAATGGTTACCTTATATTGTGAAATTAAAAAACCATGTTCATGTCTCAGAACTATATACTGTTATTCTAATTTTTAATATTTGTGTACATTTATAGCAGTTAAGAGGGGTAGAATTACAGTATATTTTAATTTTCATCCCTGTATGTTTATTTTTCAAATTTTTTACATTGAACAGCTACCACTCTTGTAATCAGAGAAGGAACATTAAAGGCTTTACAAAAGAAAGCAACTCCTTGAGGCATAAAATAATTGTTGAAATTCAAAGTTTATCAAATCAAGCCCTTATTGTTCCAAATAGTTCAGTTAAAAAGAAACTGTGATTTGTTGAGGACTTGCCATATGATCGGACATTTTGGATATATTATAATACTAGGACATTTTGCATATATTACCTCACTTAATCATCACAATAGTCCTGAAAAGTAAATACTATTATCCTTATTCTTATGTGAGAGGATGCAAAAACTAAGAGAACTTTAGTAGCTTACTTTATCTCAGTTCAAAAAACTATAAATGACAGAGTCAAAAAGTTAGAATGCAGAATCAGGTCTTATTCATTTGTTCACTCCTTGATTTATTCATATCTATAAAAGACTAAGCGATGTCTCACTATTTGACCACCCGACTGGTAGCTATGACGCATAATAACCACCAGGGGCAGACACTCCGATCAGTAGCTATGATGCACATTGACCACCAGGAGAAGACGCTCAACAAGGAGCTGCCGAGCTGCGGTGACTTAGCAGCTGCATTTCTCAGGTATCTTAGCAAGCAAGAATTTACAGAAGCCAATTAGCAAGCAGGGTTAAAATTTCAATCAGCAGTTTTCATATAAGATGGATGCTTCATAACCTGTTGTTTTTTTCCAGTCAATAATTTTCACTTTTCCATGCCAATAAATGCCTTTTTCCCCTTACTATTCAGTAGTCAAATTTTCCCAATGAAGACAAAAATGGCCTTTACACCTAATTTCTCCAAATTAGCCCCCAATTCAAGATTTTACATTGCATCTCCTGGTTATGTCGTTCATACAGGTATATCTTTTCTTTTCTTTTCCTTTAAAATCTTTACCCCAGGAGATGTTTTGTTGTTGTCGATGATGATTTTTAGAGAAAAGGAAAGGGGGAGGGAGGAGAGAGAAAGAGAGATATATCCATCAGTTGCCTCTGTATGCACCCTGACCAACCAAGGATCAAATGTAGGTATGTAACCTGACCAGGAATTGAACCTACAACTTTTTGGTGTACAGAAGGCAGCTCCAATCAACTGAACCAGCCAGCCAAGGCTCCTTCATATATCTTTAACCCCATATAGTCCCTTTCCTATTATTCTAACTTGATGAAAAGTACTGGCCAGCTGTTCTGAAAAACAGCCCATCTCCTCTCTTTGCCTGGTTGCTTACTTGTGATGTTATTTTACTTGTTGCTCGCTATTCCAGCAAACTAGAAGATCTCGCTGAAGATGTGATAGAAGCAAGTCAAACATTTTGGGCTAGAATATGTACTTCACCTTGCTTCTCATCAGAATACACCCTTGGTGATGGTCAAATTGACCCCTGGACAGTGGGGGATTTTTACAATAGAGTGGGAAGTGTGAATGCAACTTGGCCACCTTAAAGGAAGAGGAATGGGGAAACCTAGCAGCAGGCAGTGGAATGCAAAGGGCATCCAAGTGTGCTGGTCTTGTTCTCACAATTAGGGAAAGAAAAAAAGAAAAGAAAAAAAAAAAGTAGTTAAGCTGAAACCGGTTTGGCTCAGTGGATAGAGCGTCGGCTGGCGGACTGGAAGGTCCCAGGTTCGATTCCAGTCAAGGGCATGTACCTTGGCTGCGGGCACATCCCTGGCAATGGGTATGCAAGAAGCAGCTGATCAATGACTCTCATCGATGTTTCTAACTCTCTATCCCTCTCTCTTCCTCTCTGTAAAAAAATCAATAAAATATATATATATATATTTTAAAAGTACTTGGGCCCTCCATGGCTCTTGGGGATAGACATTTTACAAATGGCACGTTTCCCTTTATACAGCTGAGCTGAGCTGAGCCCACACGGTCCTCATTCTACGGAGAGCCACTGTCACCCTCCCCTGTACAACCTGGGACAAGACGCAGGTGACGGCGAGGAAGCAGCGTGCTTGCCTTCGCCCCTCTTCTTTCTAGCTGCCTTCTTCCTGTCTCCGGCCACGAGAGGAGCTACTGCCCGGCAGCCGTACTTCCGGGCAAGAACCTTTCGGGAGGTGAATCTTGTCCCATCCGGGGTCCCGTAGCCAGGTTCCCAGGCAGGGCGAACGGTACTTCTGCTCTTTCTCGCGAGCACGAAGAGGCCCCGCCCTGCTCTCCTCCTCCGGCCCCGCCCACTCCACCTGCGCACGCTGCGCTCCGACAGTTCCGGGGGCTCGCGGCAGGTGGCGCTGTCGGCGGCGTCGCTGGGGCCCCGGCTGCCGCGGAGACGATCTCCCGGCGGGCAGTGCGGCCCGGCTCCCCGGCGGCGGCGAGTGCCACGTCCCAAGTGCTCAGCGGAGGAGCAGTAGCGGGCGGTTGGCGGGGGGCGGGGAGCAGCGCGGAGCCGGCCGGCCACTCGCATCGCCCGCCGCCATGGGCTCTTCGCAGAGCGTCGAGATTCCCGGCGGCGGCACGGAAGGCTACCACGTCCTGCGGGTAAGAGGTCCGACGGCGGCCCGGGAGCGGCGGGCGGGCAGGATGCAGGCGGGCCTTCCCCGAGGCCGGCGGGCCCGGCCTCCCGGGGCCGCGGCGGCCGCCGGCGCTGCGGTGCCGAGGCCGGTGCTGCGCTGCCCTCGCGGCCCCCGGCCCGCGGCCCCGGGCCCGGGTGCCCCCGCCGCGGCGGGAGGCCGGGCCGGAGCGGAGACGGCGGTCCGGCCACTTGGCCGGGGAGCAAACTTGGCTGCTTTTCCTCCTCGGCGCGGCGTTCTCGGCCCCCTCCCCCGGAATCCTTAGCGCCCGAAGTTAGTTAATGGAAGGGAGGGCTGGGGGCAAACTCTGCAGAGAGGGCACTGGGGCTGTCTCTGGAGTTTTTCCGAGGAAAGGAAGCCTCGGCGGAGGTGCGACGGCAGGTGTCCATGCCCCTCGGCGCCGCCGCCTGTCCCAGAGGCCGGGGCGGCAGGCGGGACGCAGCGAGGAGGGGTCTGGCGGGCTGAGCGGACTTGAATTTGACAGTCGGGGGTCCCCCCCCCCTCCTCTCGTGTCGCTCCGCACCTTCCCAGCCCTCCCCTTCCACACCTCCTGGCCGGGAACTTCCGTTCTGCTCTTCCTGAGCCTCAGGGCGTGGTGGAGATTAAAGGCTCAGAGCCTCCGTGGGGTGAGAGGTAGAGAGAGGGGAACGTTAAAAGGAAAAGAAATGTAGGTAAAGGAAAGCAGCCTGTCACCAGGAGGCAGGGGAGCACAGCACCTCGGAAGGCGTTAGCTGCGCCCCTGCTTGTGGACAGCCTGGGGAGGATGCAGCGTGTCCTCCTCCTCTCGGGGAGCTGGTCTTCGAGGAGCATTGAGGCTGGTGGCCTGGGACCCCTGCGTGGGACCACGTGATCGTCCACAGAGGGGGGGCCCCAGTGGTAGCGACGTTTCGGGGTGCAATAGAGCAGCACCACTAGGTATTGGCTTCTCGCGGGCAAGAAAGAGCCTTTTCACTGAACGTGAGAAAGTGCATCTCCTGGTGCTTCGTCACCTTCGCGCTTACGGCCCATTTTTAGGCAGACACACACCCTCATAAAGTACCCACATATCTGTGTGACAGGGCTGTGATCTATCACCTTTCTCATCGTCCGGGTTATTGCACCTAGTCTCTCCACTGCACTAGCAATCCCTCTTGAAGCCGCACGCTGACTGGAAGAAAAAAAAAAAAAAAGATTTTCGCAGCAAAAGCAAGAGAATCTATTAATAAACCACATTATCTTCCTTTTCCTTCAGTTAAGCCAACCCCCACGGACTACAGAGATAGGGGGAATGGGAGAAGTGTCAGATTCCAGATGTGAAGTGCACGTTATTATCTGGTTTGATTTTGAGTTTTCTGCTCTTGGCTGTGTTATTCAGTGACTGACTGTAGCCATGAATCCTTGGGGATTTGTGAATTTTTTTTTTTTTTTTAATACGTGCAACTAGTAAAGCACAGTGTTAATGAGTTTAAAAGGTCTCCTAGAAAGCTGTACTCATCAAAAGGATTCCAATTCTGTGACTTATGCTAATAACTTCATTTGCCATAAAACAAGTTGAAGTGTATTTTCTTCACATAGGTGCACCTCAGTAAATAGGCACATATTCTATAGTTCAGATATTATTAATACATATTCTATAGTTCAGATATTATTAATCTATGAATCTGATTTATATATATATATATATATATATATATATATATATATATTATTGATTTTTTACAGAGAGGAGGAAGGGAGAGAGATAGAGAGCTAGAAACGTCGATGAGAAACATCTTGCACACCCCCTACTGGGGATGTGCCCACAACCAATGTACATGCCCCTGACCGGAATTGAACCTGGGACCTTCCAGTCCGCAGACCGATGCTCTACCGCTGAGTCAAACCGGTTTCGGCTGAATCTGATTCTTAAAAGCACTAGAGACAACCTTTGTTTTCTATCTGCATGTGGAGCAGGGTTGCAAAAGATTAAGTAATTCTTATTTTGTTCGAGTTTTATAAGAGGGAGCTTTAAAATAATAATCATCTAATTTAGGGTAATTTTAAAAAATCCTCACCCAATGACATACTTAGAGAAAAGAATGGAGAAAGAGAGGAGAGAAACATCTATATGAGAGAGAAACTAATCAATTTCTCTCTGTACTTGCTCCAACCACTGGGGATTGAACTCAAAACCTAGGTATGTGCTCTGACCAGGAATCAAACTAGCAACCTTTTGGTGCACAAGACTATGCTCAACCACCTGAGCCACTTAGACCAGGCAGAGAATTTTTTAAATGTTTCTGAGTATGTAACCTGCTCTGCCCCTGATTCTGTAATTGGTATTCTTATCTTTGTTTTCAAAGTGGCAAGTACTATGTTAAATCCCAACATATAAAAAATCTTCTTCCTTTCAATTGTTACTAGAGACCCATTACACGAATTCGTGCATGGGTGGGGTCCCTCTAGGTGGCCTTCAGGATCAGGTGAAACCCGCGGCCCAACGCCACCTGCAGCTCCTACCTGCCGCTCCTGCTCAACCTGGCCCCACTCTGCCTGCCACAGGCTCGTGCCCAATCAGTCCCAATCACGAGAGGCTCTTGCTGCCGGCCGCTGCAGCAGCAGCATTTGCCAGCCATGAGCCCTGCATCTTATTGCTCCCAAGAGGCGTGGCCTGTGGGATTCAGCTGAAACTGGCTCTCCGACATCCCACAAGGGGTTCTGGATTGCGAGAGGGCACAGGCCAGGCCAACTACGGGAGGCTCCAGGCTGTGTTTGGCCATCTTGCTCTGTCCCCATTGGCCATACCTCAGTAGTAAGCTAACCTACCAGTCGGGGCATCTGCCCCCTGTTGATCAGTGCCCGTCATAGTGAGCGGTTGAGCAGCCTTAGCATGTTATTAGGGTATTATGCTTTGGTTGTTCAATTGTTCTGCTGTTTGATCTATTTGGGTATTATCCTTTTATTATATAGGATTGCCTAAATGTACAGCAGTATATTCCACCACTGGATTACTGAGTTTGTAAACCAGAGTATATATGGCAGGTTAACCCTGCAATAAAATCAGTGTTCAACAAGACCTAGAATGATTAAATTAGAAGTTTTCATTAACCAATTCCTGGCCATTTCCTTGTTAGTAATAAAAACTTATATGACTGGATTTTGAAATACTAATTTTAGTGACGGCCACATTCACTGCTGTTTTTATTATTACTTTAAAGCTCCTATAGTTCAGATTGAATTTTACAGTTTTTCCATTTTTCCATAGTCATTGTTAGGTTCTTTAAAAAATCTTTAGGGATAACTTTGAAATGTTTCCAAATTTTCTGCTTTGAATAGTGTACTTTCCTTTTTATGTTTTATATTTATATTTCTTTTTTTAAAAATATATTTTATTGATATTTTACAGAGAGGAAGAGAGAGGGATAGAGAGTTAGAAACATCGATGAGAGAGAATCATTGATCAGCTGCCTCTTGCACCACCCTTACTGGGGATGTGCCCGCAATCAAGGTACATGCCCTTGACCGGAATCGAACCCGGGACTCTTCAGTCTGCAGGCCGACGCTCTATCCACTGAGCCAAACCAGTCTCGGCTATATTTATATTTCATGTTTGATCCTATTTTATGACCCACTCCCTGTTCTGGAAGTAACCATCATAAATTATTTATTTATTTATTTATTTATTTATTTATTTATTTATTTGTTAAACCTCACCTGAGGATATTTTTTTCATTGATTTTGTTTGTTTAATACATTTTTTTTTCCAAGAGGAGGGGAGAGAGAAATATCAGTGATGAGAGAGAATCATTGATTCACTGCTCCCTGTGTGCCCCCTCCTTCTTTGGGGATCTAACCCAAAACCTAGAGCACGTGCCCTACCGGAATGGACCTATCACCTCCTGGTTCAGAGATTGAAGCTCAGTCATACCACACGGGCTCCATTGCTTTTTAAAGAGAGTGGAAGAGAGGGAGAGAGGAAAAAAAGAAAAATCACTATGAGAGAGACACATCGATTCTGCCACATGTGCCTCAACCAGGACCAAGGTCTAAGATCGAACCTGCAAACCAGATATATGCCCTTGATCAGGAATCAAACCCACAACCACTGAGCAAAACCAGCCAGGGCAATAGATAATTGCTTATGTATTCTTTCAAAAATGTTTGATATTCTCTCCTCCCTTTTATTCTTTCTTTCTTTTTTCCTTTTACAACTTTTGGGATTATGTGATATAGACTGTTACCTTGTACTTCTCATTTGATAACCCATCTGCCTTCTTTCCATAGCAGCACATAGATCTGCCTCTTGTTTCACTTAGCTTCAGAGTAGACTCTTGTAACATAGTTTGGTTAAGCAGCACCTTCTGGTGTTGGGCATTTAATTTTTCTATTCTTTTGTTGTTATAAGTACATATCTACAACTTTAAATCCTACCTTTTGATTTCACTTAAAATGTATTTTCCCAAATTATTATATTTTAATATTGTGTAATTATATAAACATTGAATAGTATAAAATGAGGTGACAGGTTGTCAGAGTTTTTTATTTTTTTACAGCAAACTTTACTTTCAACATATTTTTAATTATATGAATTTTTTCTAGGAAGCTGCTATGTAATGGTGGGTTTTTCATTTCCTTTTAGAATTTTATTTCAGATTGTTTCATATGTTACAAGTTACATCATGGGTTGAGTGTGAGGAGAATGTGCTCTTTGGTAGAACATCTATAATAATAAAAGCGTAATGCCAGTATGCCTATTAGACCCGATATCCGGGCGAAGCCTGGGCTATGGGTGAGGAAGCCCAGCTCCCAAGTGCCCGCTGGTGGCGCCAGCAGCTGGGGGAGGAGGGCCTGCTCTTGCACAGATGTTGTGCTTGGGCCTCTAGTGGAGAATGTGGTTTAGCAGGGAGAATTGAACTCTTTCAGTCTACTAAAAATTATTTACTGCACTTTTGTGGCAAGTCCCAAATTGGGAAACTGCCCTTTCCGATGTGGAAGAGCTCACTAACTCCA